CAGATGCACCCTATACTAAGTCTCGAAGGAGAGGCCCCGCCATTCGTGAGGGCCTTCAAGATGGTTTGGTTGGCGTCTACTTCTGAACGGAAGCCTCCAACGGAGCTGAGCAGCGAAGAGCTCACCGCCGTCCTTCTAGATTTACTGCGTATTCATTATCATCGAGTTCAGCGTTGTTCGGGCAACCGTTGACTTCAGTTACTCTTATAGACGTCAATAGGACTCTCACCGCTATCCCGGACCTGCTAGCCAGGAGTGGTCTCCTCTCCCTCGTCCTATCGCTTGCCACTCGTTCTGATGTCCCCACTGCATTATTGGCGCGATGCTGTGATGTCATATCGCTTGCAAAGGGGTACGGGGCATCGGCGGGCTAGTTGCTGATGAGTCCGAGCCAGGTCACTCATGAATCGGAGTATATTAGGGAAAGTTATGAGTGCCATTATCGATGCTCATGTGAAGTCTGCCCTCATCCTTCGATCGACAGGTGGGGAAGCTGTCACCACCGCTGTCACCAGGGCAACAGTGGTCTTCGATCTCGTCACAGGTGAGAAGGAGGAGGAGGAGGCTGCATACTCCTTACAGGCATCCTTGTTTGTTCGGGTTGTTAGACGTAGCGGCATGCCAGCAGACTGCAGCGAGAGTGGGCCCTCGGCTAGTGGAAGAGGGCTGGATAGAGATGCTCCAACCCATACCCAATGCACGACATGCGATAACGCCGACTCTGCAGAACTCTATAGGCCGTATGGTCTTGGCCTTATGTGAGTTAATACTGCTGACGAGATGAGTTAGCTATAAGCAGGTCTGAGCCCATGTCCGGTGCCTCGTCGAACTATCACGGCCTCGGAATCGTGTGTGGAGACTCTATGGCGACGAGCCGTTGAGAAGGAGGATGCTCATGCCTTCATCGCTATGGCGGTTCTATCGTGCCACACGTCAAAGATGAGTGGTGAGGTTATTCAAAAGATGTCGAATAGCCGAGGAAGTTTGGTCAGGTATGATGACAAGTCTGGTGGAAGCCAAGCGTGAGGACGGCTCTGA